CACTGAGTTTCAAAGACGTTCGTGCAGCTGTGCGACTCAGTTTCCGTAAAATAACTGGTGGGAGGTAACATAGACATTTATTTATTAGAAATTTTGTACTGATTACGCTAGTTTGCATGGTCTGGCAGTCCACCAAGTTTCGATGTGATTGCACTTACAAACAGGATTTTAGATATCAGACTCTGCAGCAGTCAGATCGTAGGATTAATTTCTTCATAGATAAAAAAATATTAGTGGCAATAAAGATCATAACGAACTTGGCTAACAAAGATAATTCCACCGGGAACTTGATGGGATTAATTTTTCCTGTGGCACCTTCGAGCTTGGGCCTTGGGATACAGCACACTAAGCACAGAACGCGTATTGATTCCGCTGCCCTTGTGATACGCTTTGACTACGCCACAGCCTCACTACCGCGAAAGATATTTTCTTCCCTTCGTGTATAAAAATGTGCTTACAACAGCAAAAAAATCTTTTAAAGCTCGCATTAGTACAAGCAGTATTTACATAAGATACAATAACAACCATGCAAAAACAAGCAGCCGGTTTAACGCTACACTCCTATACTGCAAAGGTGCAACATCACCTGCACATACAATATCGGTATAAAAGTTTAATTGCGTCTTTCACGGCAGGGGATAAAAGGTGGCAGTGGCACATGCCACTGGCAACTGCCACCGGCAGTGGCAGTTGCCACTACGCGTTCTGGCAAACGATAAAACGTGGCAACTTAAAAAAACTCGGAATCAGTTTGAGTCTTGTGCCTGCGCTTTCCAGTGCAACGAGAGCTGTAACGCTGTTCAGCAGACGCGACTCTCGGGGAATACTCCTAAAACCAGTGCCGCTAACGATCAAAGCGCGGTAATGCGACTGTATTGCAGAAGCGTTTCGTTCGTGCATTCAGATAACAGCAGGCAATTTCGAAAACCAGTTTGATCACGGATGACACATCAACATGTCCTGAATGACTGAATTATAATCTGTCACCTCTTGATTAGCATGGCGTAAAACAAACGACTTTAACAAAGGAAGGGAAGAGGGAGGGAGGGAAGGGAGAACCGTATCTGTCATGAAAAACACAACGAAAATGGAGAAAAGTCGTCGTGTAGCTTTTTAATTTTTCGCTTGAGTGCTGGCAATGCACGAAAACTGATACGATTGCAAAAAACTACAGGGCCATGCAATTCCCTAAAAAACCTTAATGCAGAATTTATGCTTATTAAACACAAACGCTATAGTCGATTGTGCACATTTCTATAATTAGTAAGTAAATACTGCAATAAAATTATTCGAGATCAAAGCTGCGCCGGACGCAATGCATGCCGAATTTCAGCCGTCTTTGCCCTCTATTAATGGGGCACATGGACGGTTGTCGCACATACGTGGAAAACACCACCTGAGAGAGCTCAAAGGCTTTAGTTCCGCCCCACACTAGTAGTAAGACAATGGGGAAAAGGCCAGAGCGGTTGATACTGGCAGACAAAGAGGGCGCCCGCCTCAGTGAGCAAAGGGGCTTTGAAACACATTACAGAGCCCAAATTCAAAACGTCACTACCACAGCAAAAAGATGTTGTCCTACAACTTGCTCAGTCTTCATGTTTCTCCAGTTTTCGGTGCCGCATTTGTTCCCATGGTCGGGCGGCTAAGTTTTAAGGTTTTTAATTAGGTTTTAACGAGAAAAATGGTGTCTACTTTAAAGTTGGCAGACGTAAAGCGTATTTTAGCGACGAGGAACCGACGAGCGTTCCAGCGCTCATCCAAATGGAAGGCGCGAGCACAAGACTCAGGCTGAGCCTCAGCTTGAGGTGTCCATGATTAAGTTCTATAATTTGCATTTGTGAAGGAAAAAAAAAACAGAACTTATCGTTGGATGGCACAAATCTTCTCGAACTGATTCCTAATTTTTCGAGTTGCCACTTTTTATCGCTTGCCAGAACGCGTAGTGGCAACTGCCACTGCCGGTGGCAGTTGCCAGTGGCAGGTGCCACTGCCACCTTTTATCCCCTGCCGTCTTTCACTCTTTTTGTGCCACCTGCTCGGAGACCAGGATGGCGTCAAATATGTCAAATACAACAACCAACAATCCTGATCTCAACGGCTCCGCTGTATCCGTAGCCGTGTTTGCTGCCGTGAAGCTGCTGCTTAACGGATGCCTGTTATTGCTCTTTATGATACGCCGAGACCTACGTAACCCGTTCGCCGTTTATTTTATGAATCTGTTGTCCACTAATACCCTCATAACACTGGAGGATCCTCTGATCGTTGTGGAACTGCTACAGCAGCGCTGGTACTTCACATCCATACTGTGCAATTTTAGAATATATCTGGAGCAAATCGGTAGTGCACTGATAACGCATGCGCACCATATGATCACCATCAACCGCATCTGGGCGCTAAGCTTCCCACTTAATTACCCAATACTTCATACAAAAAAACTGGCGCTCGTGCTCTGCTTACTCATGTTGCTATATTGTCATGTGCTGGTGTCACCGTGGCTGTTAATCGACGCGTTCTATTTTCGGCCAGATATGAATTACGCAACCGACTGTAATGTGATCAGTAAAGCACAACCGATACTTAGCAAATTTCTGAGAATTTGGGTGAACAATGTCCCGATGTTTATGATTCTGCTATCGTATCCGCACTTATTATGGAAAACCATGAATACGGACAGGAAGCTCCTTCGCCAACCGGAAACAACAGGTGCTCCAAAAGCGCCCAACAGAAGAAAACAGAAACTAAGGACGAAAGAAAACCGGCATGCTTTCTGGATATTAACGGCGTTATCTGTCAGTATTCTTGTTTGCTGGATACCCATACAGGTCATCGGGCATTTCAATTGTTTTCTTCGACGCAAAGGTGCCGGATTTGTTGCTAGCTATATGCGCGGATATACTGCCTGGCTGCCAGTTGATATTCGATCCGATTATTATCATATGGGCCGTACAGGATCTTCGGGAGGTTTTACGATCCAGCATACGTAAATTCTGGCGTTTTAAAGATAACGGTAGTACCTCAGGAAGCTTACTATCGAAGAAATTGGGTAAAACATAGTAAAAACTTGGCGGCTGCTGTTCGTGCGGCATCGTTTTGAATGCGTTTGCGATGCTCGGACTTCTAATTTTCGCATTACTGTAAGGAACAAATGCTGGCCCAAAGCACTGTTGTTTATTTTGCATCAAAAATTACTATTTGGTCGTTCTTTTCACTGTAACTGGAAATAATGATAAACGTGATGATTCTTCCCGGTATTTTCCTATTTTCGCTGTTGAATTACAGTAATAGTATTACAGTAATAGTTAGTGTATTACAGTTCACCCTTCTTGGGATATGATACTGAAAGTCATGTTGACTAAGCGGTTTGCTATGTGGAGTGCTTGAGCATCTTGCCGTAACCTTGTTATGCATGTGGATCTATCGTAGAAGCTGATTTTTTGGTTTTACTCACCTAACTTTAATTTTAATGTTTTCTTTCTAAAATACAGGACGAACCGCGTATTACTTAAACTGAGCGTTTGCTTCGATAATCGCACTCATAACTGCATTGGTGACATTACATTCTTATCCAGTGTAAATACCAAAAAGCACGTTCGAAGCGCTGACAGAACCTGCGCTGACCGTAGAGCATCGCTTTGCTATTTTGCGGTCAGAAAAGACGCTTTTACCGAAACGTACACTGAAACTTTAAACGCAGCAAACGGAATTTATTATGGGATTTTTTTCTCATGGATTTTATAACCGAACAAATATTTCGGTCACTGGTAACCGGTCTTTTGAGAATTATTCGAGTGGCGTGGATATCCTAAGGGATATGCCTAACATGGTCAACTATAACGTTAAATAAACGGAAGACCCATAAAATTCATCGTCCTTCGTCATCATGCTTCCAAATAATGTTATGCCAGTTAATAATTCAATACACATCTTGAATTAATACACTGAATGCTAAGTAGGCATGAAGGGGATGACCACCGTGGATCGCAGCCCTGGCGCATCCAAGAGACGGTTCCATGTTACGCAGACAGCCCGCAGCTTCGTCTGCTCCAGGTTTCTCAAGCAGGAAAGGGCTTCTTGCCATAATTCCGCCGGGAGCGTCATAACGTCATCGGTTTTGGCCGGAGCCGCAGACGGTAGTGGACGAGTAGGTTCGTTAAGCAGATCAAACAGCAGATTACGGAGTCGCTTAACGGTTTTCGGATCTCGGCAGATTCCAGAATCCTACAACGTGCAACCGCATACAAGCCATTATAAAACCTGACAAACAGTTGTCGCCGGAAAATCGATTGATTGCTTACCCGCGAATCGCCTTCACAGGCGGTGCACTTGTCTTCGTCGTCGTACTGGTAGAAGTAATGCAGCCTTCCCTCCACAAGCTCCACCACGGAAATTTCCCTGGTACCGAAATCCAGGTACACGCCTTTCAACCGCTTAGTAGTATGCAGCAAGGGTTATTGGCAAATAATGGCGGCGAATGGAAACAGTATACAGTGCTGGAAGATACGTCTCCTGAAAGGAAGCCGTACGACGTACGAAGGGAAAGGGCTCCCGAATGGAAGCGGTAGTGTTTGAGCCATGTTTTTTTTTTTTAATAAATGATTTGTTTTATGTAGTTCGTCTATGGTGTATGACTAATGAGGTCAGTAGCTAGATTAACTGAATATTCTTCGCAAAAAAACTTCGACTCTGTAGCCCGGAAAATCAGTTAAAAAACGCAAAACCACAAATCAAAAACAAAACTTAATTTATCGAAATTTAAGCAACTGTGTAAACAAACGGGGTGGCACGCAATCCTCAGGCGCCCAGTACTCGTAGTCGGGTTCATTGGCGTAGTGTTCTAGTTTGTAGAACCATTTTCCGGCAAAATATACCACGTCCAGGATGCGCAGTGGGCGTTTTGCTGGCCATACCAACTTTTCGCCCAATCTTAAAAAAAGAAAGCTGCAGCAACCACGTACGAAATACAGGCAGCTGACTGAACATGATCAGTTTAGCTCGCACTTGCCTGCAGTGGATTAAGATAATACCGTACAAGAGTCTGGACAAGTGCAAAGGAGCAGTACAGTAAACATATGAAATCATGATGTACCTTTATAACGCGCCACGCTCCACTCATTACGGAAAACACCCAAACCCGCACCAGCTACCAGTTCTTCATGAAGGGATTTCGGCTTTTCTTCGTCATCGTGGTCTTGTTCTGCAAGCTGCATGCGCTTCCACAAATTATGGAACTGCCTCACTGCACTGTCTACGCAATCGGATCCGCGTAATTTCCACAGACAAAATGCTTTCACCACCGCCGACGCTAGGTATATAACGATGACACCACAAGCTAATTCCAGCGTTACAACCTACAAATCCGGAGTTAATGTAAAGGTCAGTGTGATATCACCAAAATTAAAACGTTAGCATTCCACGTGCGTGTACTATAAAATTATCTGTTAATAGTACGAGTGAGAATTTCATAGTTTAACTTTACCAAAACCATGAAAACTACGGTACCTTTGTCTGGATGTTCTCGTGGAACATCTGTACTGGATTACGCCAGTCCTGCAATGCCCCACGAAAACAGTTGTTCCCAGGTAAAGCCTCCAGGCAGTCAACGAACTGGAGCCACGGCTCTTTAAACTCTTCTCCACTAGAATCGAAGTGGTAGACAGCTAAACACGGACAAAACAAGCTGTGAGTGCGTAAACAGAGCACAGATGGCCACGTACTTTCCTTAACACGTATGTACAAGCATGTTGACAAATTGAGCATTCGTAAATACAGCGAACATTAAAGGTCACGAGTAACGCTTGAAGCCGTGCTCAATATTAATACATATGTAAGCGGTTAATTTATAGGATGTTACATTAATGACCTTTAGGTGTTTTTAACTTACAACCACCAGTAACGACAGCCAAAGTCATGTGCTTATCCGATCCTTTGTAGGTGTGGCAAAAAGGAATCACCACAAGATCGGCAGCTATGATTTGTTGAAACGCAGCAGAGTTCGACAAGTGTGGTTCACCAATGATCTCACCAAGGTTCCGCATATCCTTGTATGAGCCCAGAAATTGCATCCCATGCAGGTCGAAAATCACCGCCCGCTTCTGAAACCCGTGCCGCGGACGATACAACGCAATAGGTCATTAACGTGGTCTGAGTACAGAGGTAAAACGGGTTTAAAGTTTTCGACCAACATAATGCAATCGCTTTCATTTGCTTTAAATTCGGCGGGCGTGGGGCTGCAATCTTCAATCGCTGTTTTAACTGCGGCAGCGATATTAGTACAGCACGTTGTTGGATTTTTTGCGAACAAATGATGACAGGCATCCTCTTTGTTATTAAAACTTCTAAGCACTTCTGATTACCAAAATAACCGTTTGTGAAACATGCGAACTTGCGCGGCATTGTGCTGATGAGAAAACGCAAAACAAATTCAAGATTTTTTATGGAAAGAATGGCTGATATTCTTAAGATTTGTTGTAAAGACTAAAGTTTGTAACTCGGTATTGAAATGTCGTCTTAATACGGTCTTCAGCTTTTCATGTTACGTAGCAACGCCACCAGTTCTCAGCGTAAAAACAGTGACCTTTCCTGAATTATATTGTGACAGAACCCAGCATGAAGAAAAAAACCCTAACGTACTGCTACAGTACTTATTCGGTATACAACACATACATACTGTACAGATAATACAACGTGTGCAGTAAAATGTGAACATATCAAATACTGAAACCGCATGGTATTTTTGGTGGATCACTGCAGACGGGTAAGGTTATTTACAAACAGTGAATAGAACGTCCTGTTATTGTATGGCATGCTTCGATGATACGTAGCCATCCTGTGATGGTAATATGAATATTCGGTGATAAGATCTACGAGCAACAACACATAATGCAGTAAATGAAGCGCGATTAATTGCTACCAGGAAAAATGAAATCGCGCATTAATCATGTGTGTATCAAGCGTCCGTTTTCTTTACATCACAATAGCGTAAGAATGTTTTCGAAAAAATTGAAAAACCTTGTTGTGATGTACCACTTACCACGTAATTCACTGAAGCCAGCGGATGCAACCTCTATTGGACCGTTAAGAACGCGTTCCATTTGTTGTAGAATTACCAGCAATTGGCCTTCCATGTCACCATGGCGCGAACCCACTGTTGTTGTACCGTAGTGATTTTGCGGTTGAGTAGAGTGGTAATACAGGGTCACGTTGTTGTCTTCATCAGGGACGGGGGATTCTGGAGTGTCCTGAAAAAGGCGTGACACGTAAGAGGTTGGGGAAGCTGGATTAGGGTGAGAAACAGGGGAATATTCTTCCATCGCAGCGGCAACTAACGCAGCCAGCCCAGGGGGGTGGTTGCGACATAGTAGTAGCCACAATAGGAGTAGATACCCGTGGTATAGAGTTAGCAAATTCGGGTAAACGGAAGCGTAATGCAGATACGGCAGACTGAGCATGATAATGAGTGCCAGGAAAGATTGGAGGGAACAGATTCATAGTTGGGCGATGCGGTGCTACCGACGGAGAGCGCACGTAATAAGGAGACGGAAGATTGACGGTAGTGGTCGCCGTCCTACGATTGCCGGTGCTACCACGGCCACAGAACTGGCTTGGTCGGCGGTCCATAGCCAGAACACCTGCACTGTGCAAAACCAAAATCGGAAAGGAAATAAGAAGAAACATCTTAAACAGTAATTGCTTAAATGCTAACAAACAAAACATTGTACTAAAAAAAGCGTGTAATCAATTTTAGTATCCGTAGGCCCTTATCACTGACCTCGGTCATCGTCACCGAGCTCGGTGATTGTACAACTGTTGCTATGACAGTAGTACGGAAATTCTCGTGACCTTTTGCGCTGTGTGTAATCGAAAACGATTACACCAAGTAAAAACCAAGCAGTGGGTTCTCCTTTAAAAGGGCTCTAGGGATTACTTGTGACTTTCATAATTTTTTAAACCTGTATAACTATGGATTACACGTACGACGAAATGCTGACGCCTTTCTATGACGTGATTAGTCCGCAGCTGCAGTCCGCCAGTGGTAATTGTCCGCTTCCTCCTGCTGCAGCGACGGATGAATTTGCATGGATTGATGAATGGCTTCGTGAGATAAACGGTCAACAGACGGTTTCCAATAATGCTGCAGGTGGACAGTCTACGTCTCAGCCTGGAACATCGTCCTACACAATCGACTACGGCTGGTTGGATGAGGTGATGACCGAGCTCAATGTCCCTCAAGCTCCTGCAGTAGGCTCAGCTCGCGTTTTGGAAAGTACATCAGAACAAACCGTCCCAACAGCTCAAGTCACACAAGGTATCGATCACACGGACAAACAAAAGTGAAAATCATTCGAATTTTACATGGTTTTAGATTCCAATCAACTAGCTGCAAATTACGCTTCTTTGGAAGGTAAGCAAAAAAAAAAAGTTAAATAAACAATTAAATAATATTTACGTTTTTAGAATATTTCATTGGTGACATTCTTGCTTACAGATCGGTACCCAATTTACTTGGAGTATCCCGAAATCATGCAAGCTGATTCCCAAGAAGATTTGATGCAATACGGTCAAGGTTAGAAGCTATAGACCTGAAATCTGTTTAATGTTCACCAAACGATATTACAGGAACTGCGTTCGATTTTCCTCAAATGCAAGCATGCAACACCGTTGACACGGGTACGATGCTGCCTAATTTGTTCTAATAAAAAAATAAAAGAGCCGTTTTTAATTTTCATTTTTTTTTTTAAAAAAAAGGGCTACAAGGTGTGCCAATTGCTCCACAGGGTATGAAGTGGACGGATGCACAGAATCCATGTACCGACAGTACGTATTTCAGTTAGTTCGCCTTTAAATTGTGCCTAACTGAGAAAATGTTTCCAGACCAAACCGCGGTATGCTATAACTTCAACGAACCGGCCACCGTAACCCTTGTGGATGAAGGGCGGGCTGCGGTCCCACTAGCTTCCGGAAGCAGCGACTGGGTATCAGAGGCGGTTGCCTTATCGCTGTTGCATCCGTTGCCGGCGGTGTGGGTGCGAACAAATCGAAAAACCACGACCCATAAGAATTTGCCTGCCGCTCTTCGGTCTATTCCATGGGATATTAGGGCCGAAAATCTGCTGATGTATTTTAGCAGCGACAAAGAGTGGAATGGGTGGTTTACACATGTTGTGCTCGTGTTCTTGACAAAACCGGGCAGCTTGGAAGTGACACGCGATGAGTTTCAGACGGTTTTAAAGTACATCTTGGACGGAGGATGGGATCAGGACAGCGGTAACGCTGCTAATGAATGCAAAAGGCTTGCAGTACCAACAGTGCCATACCGTCGAATTAGTCGCACTTTGTTAATTTGGTACCGAAAATTTGCCAATGGTTCGGTGCGTAGCATTAAAGGTCACACGGTGTATGTTACATTGACTCGAATTACTACAACAAATACTTATGTTAATTGCATGAATATTAACGAAGCTGCTGTTAAATCGCTAGCTGAACAACGAGACCTGTTGCAGATTCTTGTGCCCGATGGCGTTGAATATCCACCATTGATAACAGTGTGACTTTACTTATATTTTTTTGGCATCGGTGTCGGCTTAACTATATGGAAATCTGAATAAAAAAGCGATTTTTAACCATCATAGATTTAGCTGCCTCAAGCACACGAGTTCCGTTAAAACATTGCCGCTTATCGCACCATTTTAAAAACAAGAATTATGTAAAAATTTATTTATAGTATTACGACCCGCACTTATAATAAATAATATCGCAGAAAAATTGCAGTTATTACCGACACGGATTACAATTAAAGCGGTATCATCAACCTCATTTACAACAATTATCACCGACGTCAGTTACAATTAATTTAAAAGTTAACAAAACATTACCGAGCTCGATCACAGCTGTCATCGAAGTCGGTTACAACACCCGCTATATAATAACTACCGCATGAAGTAACGGAAAAAAGTTTAGACGAATAAATTTACACCACCATGGCTGATAACAGTCTACCGTATAACATTGAAGATTTCACACGCATCGAGTGTACCGGTGAAAAATTCTCCCATAAATACCGACTGCATTTCAAATGCTTTTCTGTAAAAGTTTCTGAATTAGAAAAAGTGCCGTTTTCGGAAGTACCAGTTGTAATAACGCTTATTTTGGAGCATATATTAGACACTCTTTTGGAAGACGTGGGACCAGATGAAATGGTAAGAATGCGACTTGATTCTGGATCTCTGAATCGACCAATATGGACGCCACCTATTGCACGGTCGCAGCTAACGGTAGCACGATGGATGGCAGAGGTTGCGCGCGTACTGAATTCGTACGAAGAATTTGTTATCGACGATTCCTTCGAAATTTCATTGCAATACACCAACATTCCAAAAGGTAGCTGCAACCGAGACGTGCCGCAGCTTCTACGCCGAAGGTTGGAAAAAATGAAATCAGTGGTTGTTATTAAAAATACGGATAAAATCTGCCTGGCCCGTGCCCTTGTTGTTGGAAAAGCGCATGCCGACGGAAACAAAAGCTTGTACCGGAAGCTTATACGTGGTAAAAGATTGCAGACCAAGGAAGCCCAGTTTCTCATCACCCGAGCGGGATTTAAAGAACAGGAATTTAACCTTCGGCACCTTCATAAATTCCAAGAAATTCTTCCTCAGTATCAGATCATCGTGGTCAGTGTGGATCATGCAAACCTCATAGTGTTCAGCGGAAAAGTTCAACCCAAGCAAATCATTTTGCTGCATCACGATCATCACTTTGACGTGTTAAAATCTTTAGCAGCCTTTTTTAGAAAAAAGTATTGGTGCTACGCGTGTAATAAGGGTTATTCGGAACGCGCTGATCATCGCTGTTCCAATATGTGCAAGTGCTGTTTGAGGTCATCTTGTCCGTCTGATCCATGTTCTATGGTGCACTGCAACGACTGCAACCGTGCCTTTTTCGGACCGGATTGCTACGCTCACCATAAGATTGGACCAATGAAAGGGCGGCCAAAACGAAGGAGCATTTGCAGCTTGATCCAAATCTGTAAAGATTGTTTACGGATTGTCTCAATGAAGCGAAGGAAAAACGGTAACACTCATCAGTGTGGTGAGATTTTCTGCAAGACGTGTAAAGTGCATGCTCTACCCGACTCACATCACTGCTTTATGAGACCACATCAAGTCAATGCGGAAGAACTGGAGCTGAACGAAAACGCCAGCTTTTTATACTTCGACTTCGAGACTTATGTCGGAGAGAACAACGATTTAGTTCCTAATTTGGCGGTAAATTATTTGTTTTTTTAAAATTACTATAGGCTTGAGATCGTCCGGTGTTGTTGCAGGTGGTACAGGATGATGACGGTAACGAATGGGTGTTTCCGGCGGAAGACGCACCTTTGGGCGGTGATGTGACTGATGCATTATGTACCTTCTTGTTCAACGAAGAGCACAGAGATCACTTCATCATTGCCCATAATTTTAAAGTTAGTAAAATAGCATGTACTCAAATTTCGCGTTTTAATTGTCACATTTTTCTTTCAGTCGTTCGATGGCTATTTCATACTCAACTGGCTACTAAAAAATGGAGTGGTTCCAAAAGTCATTCTCAATGGTGGCAAAATTCTACAGCTGGATGTACCTTTGCTGAATATACGTTTCCGGGACAGCATTAATTACAATCCTCAGAGCCTCGCAAAATGGCCGGCAACTTTTGGGTTACCAGACATCAGCAAAGGGACTTTCCCACATCGCTTCAACCGCAAAGAAAACTGGGATCAAGTTGTTCCCTTTCCGTCGATGGATGAGTACGGTTATCAAGGAATGAATACCAAGTCCAAAGACTCATTCCGAGAATGGTATGAAAAAGAAAAAATGGAGAAGAACAACATTTTTGATTTCCGTCAAGAATTCGTACAGTACTGCAAGATGGACGTTACTGTTTTACGGTTATGTTGCCAGCAGTTTAGAAAACTGTTTCAAGGAATAAGCAAAGGGCTGTGCCCCTTCGTCTCGTCCTTAACAATTGCCGGTTTGTGCAACAAGTACTGGCGCACATTCATGCTGAAACCAGAACAGATTGGACTGTTACCACACGGTTTAAACGCAAGAAATCGCCACCAGTCAGTAAAGGCCAAGAAATGGCTGTCCTGGATGGAAGAGGACGGAAATTGTGAGATCCAATCGGTCATCAACGGTTCCGAGCACAACATTGGACCATACCATGTCGACGGTTACAGAGATGATATTCACATGGTTTATGAATTTTACGGCTGCAGGTTTCATGGCTGCCCAAAATGCGTCGCCCCAACAACCCTGCACCCTTTCCGTGACATACCAATGTCCGAAATTCATAAAGAGACGCTCGATCGCGAGGAGTACATTCGAGGACAAGGATACAATCTGACTTGCATTTGGGAGCATGAGTTTGATGAAGAACTGAAATCAAATCCTGAAATGAAAGCTTTGTCTCCCGCCTGCAGTTCATGGACCGATTGGACCCGCGCAACGCTTTCTATGGTGGTCGAACGAATGCGGTTAAACTTCTCCACAAAGTAGACGGTGACGAACAAATCCGTTATTACGATGTCAACAGCGAGTACCCGTTCGTCAACAAAAACAAGCGGTATCCTGTTGGTCATCCCATTATCATAACTAAGAATTTCCTCGATATTCGAAACTACTTTGGAGTGGTGGTGTGTGAAATGCTTCCACCTGGGAATCTGGCCTATCCGGTTTTACCTTACCGCTGTGGCGGCAAACTGACATTCCTTTGTGCCGAACGTGCATGGAGAAACATCTTAACACCAAATGCGAACATGCGGATTGTGAACGTGCCATTACTGGTACCTGGTGCACGCCGGAAATTTTGAAAGCGCTTGACTGTGGATATGGCGTAGTCAAAATCTTTGAAGTCTGGCACTTTGACAAGCATGAAGACCGACTGTTCGAAGGTTATATTAATCAGTTCCTTAAAATCAAAACGGAGTCCAGTGGATGGCCCGCAGAAATTCAGACGGAAGCGCAGAAACAAAAGTACATTGCGGATTTTAAAGAACACGAAAACGTTGATTTGGACTATGAAAAAATAAATTCGAATCCAGGTTTAAGGGCACTAGCCAAGCTGTGTTTGAACAGGTAAAAAACCTTTATTGATATTTTTTTAATAATTATAGATTCTACTTTTTTTTTTGCAGTTTTTGGGGCCGCCTGGGAATGCAGGACAACAAATTGAACACCATGTATATCAGTGAACCTGAAAAGTTTTACAGTATGCTATTGTCGGGAAAGCACCACGTGAATTCTTGGGATTTATTCACGGAAGAAATTGTTCAAATTACGTACACAACCGAACCCGGATTTGTCGACCGTAATCCTAATACGAACGTCATTCTTGCAGCGTAAGTGCTCTACGTTGATGAATAATAACCATATATCGTGGCTCAGATAAATATTTCAGATTTACTACCTGCTGGGCGCGACTACATTTACTGAAGTTTATGGAGATGGTTGAAGGTCGACTGCTGTATTTTGATACCGGTTGGTTACAAAGGTTTTTCATGCTAGTTTGCTTTTTTTTTTTACGGTTGTTTTTTTTTGCAGACTCAATATTTTTTGTGACTCGTCCGGGAGCTGTTGATCCTCCTACCGGAATTTTTCTCGGTGATTTAACAAACGAATTGAAGCCAGGACAATACATAACACAGTTTGTCAGTCTGGGAGCCAAAACCTATGCCTACGTTACCAACGATGGGGCCAGCGTTGTCAAAGTTAAAGGTTTCACCATAAACGGACGCACTAGCGAGCAGATCAACTATACAACGATGCTGGACATGCTGGAAAACCGCAACGTAGTCGATGTACAGTATCCTGATATTCTTCAAAGGGTCAAATCGAGTTTGAGCATTCGTAACGCAAGTGCAGTGAAACGATTTCAAGTAACTTATGATAAACGTCGTGTTATTGATGAACAGTTTAATACAGTACCATTTGGTTACAAGTTGGTTTAAACCAGTGATTTATTAAATTCATCAAGCATTATCTGAATTTGTTGAACGGCTGCGCACAATTGCTCCGTTGTTTTTAAACCGAGAAAATTGCATTTACCAGAGGAAAATAACACCGCTCGACCAGTGCTCAATTTAATCGCTAAACCACTAAACAACTCAGGCGTATATTCTAAACTGAAAAAAGCACTGAATTTTTCAATGTGCACGCGCTGTGAGAAAGCATGGTTCCCAATGACATTCACAATTCGGTAATCGGTAACGGTATAAAAAATTCCTATATCCGAAAGAAGATTTGCAAAATAAGTTACCAATTCTTGGGCTTCCGTTTCGGTCCGCGCTCCATTAACAGTTATTTTACCGTTTCGATATAACTGGCAGTGTGCTTTGAATGGTAACAGGCGGCGTACCAGCAAACCCGAGAATGTCTCAGGAATATATTGAGCCATTGGTAAAAGCTTCTCAATTTTCCGAAGGTCCAGGGTAGTGTTTAAATCCGCAACGGCAACTACATTGGTGATTCTGGGCATCGCAATGATACCACAACGCGAAACGTACGGCTTTACGGAGTGTAGAAACGGGTAGTGATGTCAACTTATGAAACGGTGGGCAGCCAAAGGTTTCCAGGTTTTTTACTTCCGGTACAAATTGTTCCAGCAACCGGCACTTTTCTTGCCCTTTTGCAAGGAATCGTATTCTGCTAGGACGTCCAATTCTTTTAAATATGTCTTCAACGGCGCAACTCACTTGGTTGCAACGGTAATCTCCTTCGGTATACCACAACAGACCGTGTGAATGGCGAGCTTGTCGTGTGAGGTCGAATTTGTATTGGCTGGCACAACGCGGTAACGTAAAGGTATATAAATTCTGTTCCGATTTTTCCGGACAGTAAAATGCCAGTTGTTTAATATACTTTTTACCGTTGATGACAAACCAATCTGCGTCAAGAATGCAGGGCACTGCCATTTTTTTCTCAAATATAGAGAAAATGTTGCAAAAAAAAAAGAATTTCTAAACGGTGACCTTTCGAGTATTGTAATTTATATAGAATCGAACTGAACTGGTTGCAACCGTGCAAGATGATTGTAATCGTGCAGAGTTACGATTGTGTAACCGACCAGAATTACTGTAATCGTACACCATTATAGTGCTGTAACCGAATACGGTGATTATCACCGAACAGGATTATAACCTTACAAAAGTGACTGTAATCGTGTACGATCACAATTGTGGACTAAGCTGTGGTGTACTGCACGTTTAGATCGTTGTAATCGAGTGGGATTACTGTAACCGTGGAAGTAAACGGTGTGTCATAAGTTGCGGTCGTAAATGAATTGTATATAAACGGTACCGCTCACACTAAGACCGTGCAGAGTTTAGTTTTGTTGAATTTTGTTTCATCTAGATATTGTATAAACCATGGAGTTTCTTGACTTGTTGGCACAAAAACGACCGCAAGGAGGATTTACAAAGCGAAAACGCCCAGGAGCCGAAGACGATACCAACCCGGAAGCAAAGAAAGCTAAAGGTGGCGCACTAATAGAAGGTACGCCAACGCATCCACGCTTTGCTTTTACACAGAACGGCAAGCCGGTTTATCGACTGGGCAACGACAAGTTCGTGTATGTTGGTACGAATACGGACGCAAAGAAAAGTACGATTCGCGTTGTTTTCGGGGAATGGAAAGAACAGCCTGATAACTCCTGGAAAGCGACTTGGGGGAAAAACATTGTGCTCTCCAAGAAAGGATTTCTCCGTTTGGCGGCTCTTATGCTGACTGGAAAATCCGACATGGACGAGACTGCCCGCGCCAGTTCAGCAGAAACAGGGAGGTTGACACCATTGTACTTACTAGATGGAAGTATGTATTTTGGTTGGAGTCGTTTCAGCAACGCAAACGTGGCTACGATTCGTCGATTCAATGTGAAAGCTGGCGACATGGTCCCGACCCGTTACGGTATTTCGTTCGGTGAGCGCTGTTATGACGGACTGAAGGAACTGCTGAAGGATCTGCAGTTGATTAAAGACATTGCCAAGATTCAGAAGGAAAGTGGCACTGAGGATCCGATTTTGGAAGGTTTAGCGTACACTGAACTGGATGAAAACATAGCTGATGCCTTGGTTCCACTGGTAAAACTGATGGACGACGGGACTGGACCGAAGAATTACACCGAAAATTACCGCCCATCGGATGCTGAATGGAACGGAGCTAAAGAACGTCTATTGGAACTGCGCATTGTGCATGGTATCTTGTTTGGGTTAGAAAAGCTGGGAATTGAGCAAGCTCTGGAAATGGATGTGGAGTCTTATTTAATGTTGCATGAGAATCGTATTCGTGGAAATGTTGGGCGCACTATTGCAGCGGATAATTGTTGACGTGTTAAATTGGTTAGCAATATAAACCGGCACTACTTGTTTTCATATTTTTATTTCAATAAACGCTTGCATATTTGCCAAAGCAGAGCCCCATCAATCATGTTTGTATTTATGTCGAAAAAGAATTGACATACTGACACACCATTTTATCGTTGCTTAGTCGGCTATCCGTAAACAAATGCACAATATTTGTGTATGATTCACCACCACAGCGTCGTAAAATAAAAAACAAACAGTACTGTCCACATACAGTACTGAATTCAGACTGAAACTGTTCATTTTGTAGAGTTATTTCATTGACAGCCGCCAGTGACGCGAAATGCTGAGAGTAGCGTTCCAAAGTTCTCCCGTATGAATCAAACATTTCCATTTTTCCAGCTTGTTCCTGGTACAGCGCGATCCAGTGCTCACCTTCCTGGTCGGCGGGGTCTGTATTTACCACACACGCTCCCGGGAAAGGTGCCAGAGTGGTTGGAACTTGATCACTCGCGTAGACCCCACGAAATACCGCTGTGGTCTGGGGATTCCCGTGGAGGGCCGAGGTAATTTCTTGTGTGTTCATGTTGTAAAGTCAGCAATTAACTGACGGTGCTGATTGATTTCAATGATGCTGTCATAGATCAGCATGCACACCATCATAATGGTACTTTTCAGTGGTTTACCAAAGGACACGGACACACTTAGGTTTCCCTGTTTGATTAGCGTCAGTGGTCCGCGTCCGGTATGTCCTGGAGTCAGGTCAAAACCGAAAATGGTATAGCCGTCGTTATACTGGGTCCGGTTAAACGGTAAGCCGCCTTGCAAGCTTGGACGATGTCCCAAAGTGTCCAACAGCCCGTCGTAGCACTCCAGAGACAACTTGCGGTCGAAATCGGCAGTGTACGGTTTCGTAGGGTAACTCTGACCGTCCACTTCGACGCTGATTTGTGTAATATTGAAGTGTTGAAAGTTGAAAGGATTTTTCTTTTGCGATCCGTGAAAGTCTTCGCTGTCCACAAAACCAATAAAGACGACTTTGGGAATTTGGCCAATCTGCAAATTGCTGACCACGGTGCTTTGGGTTCGCTGGGGAATGTCCGACACGCGCATAACCACGCGTTCGATATGGTACTTGACCGTTTTTTTCAGGAGTTCTCCGGCTACAGCGGTCAGAAAATCCGGAGACGGAATGTATCGGCGAACCGATAGACGTGCGTTACGGATAAACGGTTTGAATGTCTTGGTGGTATCCGTGTCCCATACACGTAAGGCAAACTCCGGTCGACTAACCACTAGGCGAATGTTGACGGGTACCCCGGTGCACAGTGGCTTGCTCTGGTCAAAAAGGTCCGAAAATAGTTTGCCGGAAAGCTGAACGTACTGTCCAGTATTAAATAACGCCGTTCGATTTTTTCACCATTGTTCGCGGTTTCACTGTTGAAAGAACCCGGAGAGTCGTAATAGAAACCGGCGGATGTCAGTTGGCTTTGTTGAGCGTCAAGGGAGTGGGACAGCAAAGATTCCAGGTAGGCGCGGTACGGATAAAACGTGGCGGCATCCGAGATCAACCGGTTGGCCACCGTCACATGGCATGAAGAGAACATAGAGTGCAGAATGTTGTTGACCGGTCCCACACCATCTGCCGTTGTAATCAGTTCCCATTCCCCAGTGCTCTTACGGACTTTAATACCCACTTCAAGTTCCAGGATCATGTCCGCTAAACTGAGTAGTCCGGATGTGCTGGGTGGGATGAAAAAGTTGATGTCGCCGGCCGATCCGTTGTCCGTTAAGATGGTCGTGGGATTGAGCTTTTCGTGCTCAGTGCGCCACCTATCCGTTAGAGTAGCCGGTAATGCAAACAGCTGGTTCTCTAGTTGCATGGCCGGCTCCGAGTTTTCCATCATCAGCATGGCCATTTTCAGAAAAAATCGGGGATGCTGGTAGGAGGAATACGTTTAACTCGTACAACTTTACGTCGAATACGTCGTTTCTTGCGGATACCTTCGCCTTCTTGGGAAGCAAAACGTTTTCCAATGGCTGTTCCCGCACGCGAAGCTACCTCTTTAATAGCCCCGGTCGCCGCTTCTTGCAGGTGAGGAGTAGCCGCTTCCAAAGCGGCTTTGGCATGCGGTGCAGCCTTCCGTAGTATAGGCTGAGCAAAGGCTGATAGCTTGGCGAAAAGGCTCTTTAAAATTTGCGGGAACCCCGATCCGTTTTGTAGGGTTCCTCGATACCGGATCAGGGCGCTGCCACCCGTCTGACTGACAAAGACGTTCTCGTATCGCCGGGGATCCGGCACGTACGCCACGAGAGGCATTCTAGTAGAGTCGTTGTGGTCGGAAATGCAGTTTCACCAGTGACTTTCCCGTTTGGAACTTGGCGTCGTCTCCCAGATCGTTGGCAATGGTCAGTTTTATCGTTTCGAAATGTTGGCGTAGTACTGGGACGTAATGCGGAATGTCGAATCTGGCCTCGACAATTTGATTGACTTCTCCTCTAATAGGTACGGAGCGTAAAAACTGCGCTGCAGTATCGCCAATCAAGCTGTAGTCGGCCACATCACTGTAGACAAACAGGCTTTGATTTCCCAGTAGGGTATTGACCGGTCGCTCCGAAATAAAGCTGGTAAGTTTTGGATTCGGAGGCTTGGCCAGAAATGACAGGTACTGGATACTGACATTCTTTGTTTCAAAAGGAAATGGACCGACCATACCATTACTGTTACTCTCCATCGGTACATCGGGTTTTAATACGCTACGTTCAAACCCCAGCATTTTTTGTAGGACTATCGACGATGGGGGAAAGACAACGGAAACCCGGTCATTGCCAATGTTTAGTCGGACCCGATGATTGGTGGCGGTCAGCAATTGAACGGTAAAGGCTCTGTCGGCAGTCAAAGCGCTCTTGTCAGGGTGCACCGTTTCGTCCACCATGTACGATCCAACTTTGGGTACCAATGAATTGATGGTCTTCAATAACAAATCGGCATCTTTATAATTTCCAGGAGGGATGGTAATCTCGTCGGTATGGACAACTTGGTCCGCCGACTCCAAAAAGTTTGCTTCGTCTTTCTTTAGTCTGAATTCTTTAACGATGTGCACTTCAATCTTCTGCTCCACGGGAAGAGTGAAAAGGAATTGAGGTACTGTAGTTCAACCAAGGCCATTTCCCATTTTCCCTTCAGGGTAATGGGGTGTTTCAATTTGGTCGTCCAGTTTGAAGGAGTGTTGCTCGGGTCCGTCGCCACATCGCTCGGGAGCGTCACGTAGAATGGTGCTCCTTCGTACATGATGATGCCTTGATCCAGGAATCGTGCTCAGGTCCGTACCCTAACCACCGAACTAGTGCTCTGTCACCACGGCGTCTAATGATATGGTCGATAGTATATTCCTTCTGTTCCGGACGCGATACTTTGGAGAGCTCGTGTTCATAAAAGGTTCCTTGAATAGGTTGGTCTTGATAGTCCTTTAGTTGATATACCGGTACGATATGTGAAATGACTTTATTGATGTAGAATACTTCCTCCTTAAATCGATACGTATAGCCTTTTTCGACCTTGGTTTTATGCACGGCTATCCGGACGGCATCACCGACCTTAAATCGAGGTGGTCGAACTTCTCTGGTTGGATACAATTTATTGAATACCGCCAAGGAATTGTTCTGAGTGACATCTATCGGTCGCAATCCATGTGCTCGATGTTTGGAGTGGTTATACGAGTACACCAGATCTTGCAGTTTGTCAATGTAACGGGTCGAAACTCGCGCACGAAACAAGCGAAACATTCTTGTTTTGATGGTGCGAATGACGCGTTCAGCCATGGCGCATTTGATGTCTTCGTTTTCCGATGTGAAAAAGTGAATCTTCCTGTCCTTCAAGAAGGTCTTGACCGTTGCGTTAACGACTTCGCTGCCTTTATCGTACTGCAGCTTTTCCGGCTCACCCAATTCTTCAAAAGCCTTGGACAAGGCATTCTTGGTTTCGTTGGCCGTTTTAGACTTCATTGGTTGAATGCTTAGCTTTTTAGAGAAGCAGTCAATTACAAACAGCAAGTGTTTGTACCCATCATTTTCTTTGGAATATTTTGATAAATCAGCCAGATCAGCTTGGTACTGCTGACGAAGGTTGGTCACTACGATCCAGTTGCGTGCAAAGCGCCGTCGATTTTCCTTGGTCACAGTGTACGCATCGATCTCCTGCAGAATTTCTTGTGCTTTCCGTCTGTTGGCTCTGGTCTTTAAACTTCTTCGGAACCTTTCGATGCCTCCAAGACCGCCGGGATTTCGCGGGTCGAGATATCGTTTCATCAGCTTCTCCATTATCATTACAGCAAGTAGAAACGCAGCTGATCTTAAATACTCGGCATAGCCGTAACACGCTGGGTATTAGACCGGCCATTATGTTAAGGTGATCCACGGCAGTTTCGATTTTCCGGTTCCTTTCTGAATGGTGCGGAAACGCAGTTTTCTAACGTTGCCTTCGATTTCATCCGCTTTCCTTTTCTTTCCCCGCACTGGTCTCGAGATGGAGAACAACGGCCGTCGGGGGTATTTATGTGGCTTGGGTTGTTTGTCAGCCTCCTCGTTTTTTCGCTTGCGACCTTTTTGCGGTACGGTTGATGGAAACAAGCCGATTCGTGCTGTTTTTGCCAGGCGGATATCTTCAGGTTCACCAGGAAAGAACGTTTCCGACCTTTTCGGGCAGTGTTGCAGGAAAAGGGCAACTCGAGCTTTTTTAATTGACCGCTCGTCTCCGGGTTCGCTCTGCTGGTGATTTCGTTTTGAACCTTTTGTGGGTGTTACCGCAGGAAACAATGCCCGTCGAGGCGCCTTTCGTGCGGTTTCTTCTTCAAACTCGTCTTGCAAGTTTCTTTTCCGTCCATTCATCGGTACATCCACCGGGACCGAGTACTTCTCGATCGGAGTTTGTCCCTCTTCTGCCGTTTTTTTCTTTTTTTGAAATGGTACGTTTTTCTGCTTCTCTGTGCTTAGTGGTGGGGGTTGGGACGACACATCCGTTGCTAGTTCCACTGGATTTTCATCTGGAATGGCTTTCTGTTTCAACGCCAGGAACCTTTCCAGTATACTGCTCAACTGGCTGGCTTTTTCGTACTCGCTTATATCGGTTCGGTGAAGCGTTGTAGCCACCAGGGCGTCTAGTGTTATTACGCTTTGTGCTTCCGGTGGTTCTTTATTAATCTGAAGCTGATGGTGCATACGGTTCTCCATTACTCTTCGCGGAACAATGAAGTATTCATCCATTTCCAATGAGAGACGTGAGAACACTTGCAATTACTGGTAATATGGCTCCGATGAAGCCTCCTTGTTGAATAATTTTTCGCTTCTCCTTGAGGGGATACCGTTGTAAAGCAATTAGCTTTAATGCTTTCCGGTGTCGTTTACACTTTTCAGCCTGTGCCGGTGTTAAGTCGACGGTGTTTTTCACAATATTGACAGCAACTTCTTCGAGGGCTTTCAACTGCGGTTTGGTGAGGTAGCTAACCAACACTTTCCGCTGTTTTGGTCTCAGCTGTTGCAGCGTAATAATGAATGGTGCTAAAGCTTTCACCCGTTCGGACATTTCGGTAAAGTATTGGTAGCGTTCCGGTTTAGATATATCCGCATTTGATCATTCGGTAGGACATGAGAACGTATCCTTAAATAGTCCGGGCAAGTAGGTCGTAGATCCAGTACAAGAGGTTGATACGGTTCCGCTGTGACTTTATTATCCGCATCCACTAAATGTTTCAGTCCAGTCTGTCGTGCCAGCAGTGCGATCTGATTAACATCGCGGACGTTCTTAAATAGTATCAAGTACTGTGAATTCAACGTGATGTCCCGCATTGACTTTCCTTGCTTATAGAGATTCTGCAGCATCATGATGACTGAAACATTCTTGTGATGAATGCCGCGGGTGAACAAGTCAGAACATCGAACATCCTTGCACAAATCCGTGGCCAAATCATCAATAATAAGCAGTATATGGTCAACGCTATCGGCAGAGTGCAGCTCTGAAAACAGGTCATCCAGACCGTGCAAGAACTCGACTTGCGAAACCTCTTTTTGTAAGTCATCGAAACCTTTCTGCCACTGACCGTAGCAGTAGAGTATTCGTGTGGGTCGCCGATCAAAACTAAAGCACTGTTTTTCAGGAGAGTGAATACAAATTGTGTTTTGCCCGACATTGTTGGCCCGCAAACACACATACCAAAAGGTACGCAAAAGCGTGGATACTCATTTATTACGCTAAACATTCTTTTTTATGTCATAAAGTACACAGAACATCGGAACAGCTTTAATAAACATTTATGCAAAGAAAAGCTTAACCTTTTCAAAAATTAGCTGGCGACAAACAGGACATTCTCGCAGTCTTTCCGAACAACCAGTACAACAAACGGCATGACCACACGGAAAAAAACACATGCAAACCTTTTTATCCAAACATACACTGCATTCCTTATCTACTTGAGAGTTACCATCCAGTCTCGCCACTGTGATGCGTTCCTTAATCCGGTTTGCCGCCTCCACCAAGTCTTTCAAGTCAAAATAGAGCCACGCGGTCTTATTACGGAGCAGAGCCTTGATCAAATACGTGTAATGGCATCCAAGTTCTACTGCATGGGCGGTTAAGAAGTCCCGTCGATCGGTTCGTGGACCAGTCACCCACTTTCTGTGGTCCATATCGTGAAACCTCTGAACATAATATACAAACTCCAGTCCTTGTTTTTCAATCAGAAATTCACATCGAGGCTCATGAATAGCATGTTCAATCCATGGGTCGTCGTCCGGGGTCCATTTTTCCAGTTTTCGACCACAGCAAAACACTGCACTCGATCAGCAACCTCCATGAAATAGAAACCGGCCATTGCCAAGTCTCTTGGCCGCTGCTGGGCGTACACAGGCCACTCCGCAAAGTGCC